GAATAATTTTTCGGTCAAATTCAATTTTATTTTTCCACATAGTCTCCTTTTAAGTCGATACATTTTTTCAAAGAACGTATTTGTCGTATATTGACTAAAGAATTAGGCATGCGTAAGTTAACCGCGCATTGGGTGCCGCGCTTGTTCACTCTGGATTAAAAACGCATTCGAATGAACATTTCTAAGGCCCTGTTGGAGCGGTTTAAACTAAACAAGTCGGACTTTTTGCGTCGATTAATAATAACGTTTAATGAAACTTGGATCCATCACTTCAACTCCTGAAACGAAAGAATAATAATCAAAACAATGAACTGTGAAGGGTGAACCTGCTCCGAAGAAAGCGATCGACGGTTTTATCGGCGAGAAAGGTGATGGCGACTGTTTTTTGGGACAATCATGGAATCGTGTTGATCGACTATCTTGAAAAAGGTAAAACAATAACAGAGACGTACTACGCATCATTACTTGACAAGCTGAAGGCAGAAATTGAGAAAAAACGACCGCATTTGAAAAAGAAGAAAGTGCTGTTCCATCAAGATAACGTACTGTCTCACACTTCGGCGGTCGCTATGGCAAAAATTCACGAATTGCGGTTCGAATTAATTTACCATCCACCGTATTCACCAGATCTGGCCCCCAACGACTTTTTTCTGTTTCCTAGGCTCAAAGTTTGGCTCGGAGGACAGAAATTTTCTTCGAACGAGGAGGTCATCGCATCCGTAGACGCCTATTTTGCAAAGCAAGACGCTCAGTGTTATTTGAATGGATTAAAGGAGAGAGAGCATCGCTGGAAAAAATGTATCGACTTAAAAGGAGACTACGTGGAAAAATAAAATTGAATTTGACCGAAAAATTACTTGTTTCTATGTTAGGTTCAAAACTTTTCAGACGACCCTCGTATATAACATATATCCAAAAGCCCTCTATTATCGAAAAAATGCACCGTACATTTCTTTCTGGTCGACGACGTTAATAATGATGACAATAACGACGTATCTTAAAAATGATATAAAAAGTTACAGATTCGGACTTTGCGTCGCGATATCTTCGCTCGTAGAGCACGTAGAAGAAAAATAAAACCACTTTCATTATACAATTTAAGCAGTGGCTATCGATTGAGTGTATATAGAACTTGATCAGTTCAGCCGTTATTGAGATCTGATAATCTCAATCTGCCGCAACTCGCCGACTCGCTCTAGTCACGGCAGTGTCTGGCTTAGCGCCGAGACACTTCAGATACTACCGTGTCTCCAGATAGTTTATGGGACATGAAAATATATTCATAAATAATAGATGTGATGTAAAAAAATATTTAATCAAATATCTGTATTAGTTTTTTAATAAACTTGAAAAATGTGTAAATTGTAGACACATAACCCCGGTCTCCCCTAAAGAAAAAAAATCGATTTTTTAATATTGGGGGTTAGTGTAAAGTTGGCCCCCCAAAACATAAATAATTTTCATATATCTTTTGAACTAAGGGTGAGCAAACGAAAATTCCAACTGAGCATTCGTGAGCGAACGATGAGCAAACGAATGCATAAAGAAAAAAAATCGATTTTTTAATATGGGGGCTTCACACGGGTTAAATCGATGCGGTCGATGCGATCATCTCTTACACGAGTTCGTCTATAAGCGAGACTGAGACGTAAGTCGTTTAAAATATTGCATTTCGCATTATTGCGAAACTCTTCTCATAGAAATTTTTTTAAATTAAAATAAGGAATAAATATGCCTCGTAAAGCTTGCGTAACAGCAGATGAAATGTTTGAGGCTGTAAAAGATAAAGATTGCCTGACAGATTTAGGAGTTCCCAAATCGCAATCTAATCCTATTTGGGCAAATATTTGCCGATATTTAAAAAATAAAATACAAAAAACTAATCTCTATTTGAACTTAAAATAAGATAGAAATGACGTTTGTTCTCGTGTAAAGGAGTATAAAGGCATTGCCAATGTACAAGATACCAGAACATATGCTCTCTTTTGAGTCTTGTACTACATGTATAAGTAAAACTACAGATGACGAAAGTATAGAAAACATTGTCCATAGTGATAATAATAAACCGGTCGTATACGTTAAAAGTGGCGATGAATGCCTAACTATTTTATACACCCTAACAATCGACACTGAAACATGGCAGCGTAGATATAGGCCCAACAACGATAATATACGAAGAACATGGTAGATATAATAGTAAACGAAAATGTACGGTCTTGCAACGAGGATGGACGGATGTAATATCTAAATTATGTTGGTCCAAAACTAAAATTCCATGCGCGTATACTTTCAAAAGAGCGAAAGTATATGATTTGGTAAATGGTACGTATATTAAAATTTTTGGTAGATGTAAAGATTGTTATGCATCTTTTAGCGGGCATTCTATTAAAAAACCCAAAGTAGGAGATTGTTTAAAATTATTTGTAAAGATAGAACACAAGAGGAATACCTCATAAAAAAAAGAGTATTAAGGAACGGAAAGAACAGTAGTGCAAAAAGAAATCCTGCACAAAAAAGCAATCGTTTGGCGTCGCGAAATTACGAAGGAAATGGAATATGGCGATCCTGAACCAAGTCATTTATTATACACCACTAATGTATTGAGAAAGGCACGACAAGAAGGCAAAGACAAAGAATTAGGTGTGCACAAGATATAAAGTGTTATTGAATCCATAAGTAATTTAAAATATGATGCTCAATACGCCGGCGTAATACGAGAAATTGGGTTAAACAAATTTTATTGCATGTACTGGTCACCAATACAAATAGATATATGTAAAGATATTATAAAAGTAAATAATTCTATTTCTATCGATGCTACTGGCTCCCTCGTGCAAAAGATGGATCGAAAAAATAAAAGGTTTGGTGCAATTTTTTTATATCAGGCCGTTGCATCTGTGATAGTGCCCTTATTTCAGTTGTTTGAAAAACATAATATGTCAACATAATTCAATATTGGATGAGTGAATGGTTGCGCTGTGGAGGAAAAATACCGCATGAGAGATTATTACTGACTTTTCGTTTGCACTGTTAAATGCTGTTGCTGTGCGTTTAATACCCTGATAGCAAAATGATGCCAATTTGCGCGCAAATTGGCAGCAAACTCGATCGATCTTGTCTACAAAACAACAAAACCGTAGCCATCTACGTCCGCATTTGGTTATGGATTTGGCGACAACATTTACTGACATGTTTTGCAACAGATTGGTGGCAAAAACCGAGCAGAGTCTGCTGACATGATCTGACAGCAGATTGCGCGCAGAGTCTGCTGAAGTTGACGACAGATTAGCAGCAAAAATTATCGCTCGTCGCGCATCGCCCATCGCTTCCAGTATGAACTATAGGCATAATGCCTAGTGCACACTGGGTGTCTTTCGGGAGCTGCTCGGAGTCGCTCTGAATGAACTCAACGTACTTAGATGTGATTCATATTTAATGCTGCAAATGCTTCGTTGATCATTTGGAAGTAAGAATATTACAAATTGATCAATCAGAGAATGTTTCGAAGTATTTACAGCGCGAAATGAATCGTATCCAAATGCTAGGTTCGTTCGAAGCAGCTCCCGAGAGATAAAATGAACAATGCTACTGACAGCGTGCCGTTCGGACGTATTTAGAATAACTTGGTATGCACGAAAGATAAAATGACGCTGACAGTGTGTTCCCAGAACGGACTCAGAGTTTAGAGTGCACGCACAAGCGGTAAAAATAGGCATTCAAATTTTAAATGACTAGGTAAGCGCAGACTCTGCGCGGTTTCTGCTGCTAATCTGTCGTCAACTTCTGTCTGCAGGCTCTGCTCGCAATCTGTTCGCAATCTGCTGTCAGATCATGTCAGCAGACTCTGTTCGGTTTTTGCTACCAATCTGCTGGCAAAACATGTCAGCAGACGTTGACAGCAGTTTGGCAACAGTTTGCTATCCTGATAGAAAAATGATGCTAATTTAAGCGCAAATTAGCAACAAACTTGATTAGATCTTGTCTACAAAACCGTAGCCATCTGCGTCCGCATTTGGCTATGGATTTGGTGACAACATTTGCTGACATATATGTTTTGCAGCAGATTTTGGTGACAAAAACCGAGCAGAATCTTCCGACATGATCTGACAGCAGATTGGTAGCAAAAACCGAACAGAGTCTGCTGACAATATTTGGTAATACAGACTCTGTCTACAATTTGTTGCCAATTTGCAATAAAAAATTGTCAGCAAACTCTGCTCGGTTTTTGCAACCAATCTGCTGTAAAACATATCAACAGACGTTGTTAGCAGTTAGCAGCAGTTTGCTGACAATACAGACTCTGTCTACAATTTGTTGCCAATTTGCAATCGAACATTGTCAGCAGGTTCTGCTCCAAATCTGTTTCCGCAGACTTTGCTATTAGGGTAGTTGTAGCCTGTCACAATATATTAAGACATGTTTACAATATCTTAATGATGAGAAAGTTATTATACCATTATGTCGTACACGCCTAGATGTCGCGCACTTAATAAAAATGATTGCTAGATGACAATGTTTCCGTGGAAAAGCTCCACGAATCAAAGATTTTTATCTACGATGTGTTGGATTTTTAATAACTATCGAATCAAGAAATCAATTCGAAAATATTTTGCATTCGATATTGATTGTCGCACTTAGCGAATACGACGACAAAAGTACTGAGTATGCAAATGTTGTAACTTGAAGGAGGATTGTAAGTAAATAAACTGACTCGCAGATTCCTTATTCCAATCACGATATATATATTTATTATAAATCCAATCGCTGTCTATTACAAGAACAATCGTATGAGTATATAAAAGCGGGAAGTCCGCGTGTACGACTCGCTCGTTGCCTCTCTGTCAGTGTTGCCACACAGCCAAAATTAAAATTGTAGGGTAATTCAATCGGCCAATGAACGAACGGATATAACAGTCTCCCACGCTTATTAGAAAGAAGGTAACTGCTTAGACATATCTGGAAAAATAAAAGACAGAAAAAAAAGAAAGATAATAGTTTCCTCATTTGGGAACAAAACTGTCTAAATATGTCGGAGGTTTACGGATCCTCTCAGATCTGCGAAGTGGTGGATCTTGGTTCTGGCTTTCCCTTATGGCACTTTCTCCGATTGGTGTCTGAATATTTTGCGCTGCCGGAACAGGGTCCTTCTCTGGGGCTTGTACCTGGAGGGGCTGCTCTTCAGTTCTTGGTTGGGGCTCTGGTATGTTGTCTAGTAATGGGTACCAGTTCCTGGTTACTGGACCAAAATGGACTGATTTCCTTTCAGGTTTTTCCTTAGGGACTTCACTCTGACGTAGCTGATTAATGTGTCTCTTGATGAGATATCCTTCGTCTAAATGTATCAAATAATGTAGTCGACCTAACTTTTTCGTGACTACGCCAAGTTTCCATCGTTGAGTTCCACTGTATGCTCGAGACTGTACTCTGTCTCCCACGCTTAATTGACTTACATGACATTCTTGAGTGGACGTCGACCTTATGCTCGGAGGGCGTAATAAATCTAGACTTGTTCGAATTTGCCTGTTTAGATAAATCTCCGATGGACTTTTACCACAGTGTAATGGTGTGGCTCGGAAACGATATAGAATGTTTTCTACTTTTGAAGTCATTGTACTTGGATCGGATTCCATTGCTTTCAACTTCTTCTTGAGAATTTGAACGTACCTTTCTGCTAACCCGTTAGTTGCTGGATGTCCTGGGGCAATGAATTTTTGAAAGATGCCATTTCTTTGACAGAATTGTGTAAATTCCTCACTTTTGAATATTGTCGCGTTGTCGGATACCAAGACTTCAGGTGTTCCATGTGAGCTAAAAATATTTTCTAGAAAACGGATAGTTGAAACAGACGTTGGGGTTCCTTTTGTGATTCTAACTTCCGGCCATTTAGATTTGGCGTCAACAAGAACAAGGAACTGATGACCTTGAAATGGTCCGGCGTAATCTATGTGAACACGCTGGAAGTTGGACTCGGGCTCTTCCCAATGGTGGAGTGGAGCCTTTCGAGGATTATTCTGTCCTTTCGTACATTCTAGACATGAACGTACTATCCCTTCGATATCTTTATCGATGTTCCGCCAGTAGCAATATCGCCTAGCTAACTTCTTCATTTTTGAAATGCCAAGGTGAGTATAGTGCAGCTCTTTCAAGATCTCTGGACGTAATGAAGTGGGAATGAAGATTCGATGACCTCGGAAGATAATACCATTATGCAGGCTGTAAATTGGATCATATGTTTCTCCAGATGCTAAGTTTTCTTTTAGCTGTGATAATTCTTCGTCTTTTATGGTTTCTTCTGCGATGGTTTTGCTAGTGATAACTGTAGTGGATATTTGATTGATTATCTGGTCGTTGATTTCTTCATCTTCATCCTGTGCGGTTGACTTGATTTCTAATGATGCGCGCGACAAATAATCGACGTTACCATGGTCCTCAGCTTTACGATGCTCTACTTTATAATTGAAATTGCTTAGAAATGTTGCATATCGCAGTAATCGTGCGGAAGTGATCGCAGGCAGTTTTGTGTTATGCTGGAAGATTCTGGTTAGAGGACGATTGTCCGATATTAGTGTAAACGGTCGTCCGTATACGTACCGATAGAATTTCTGGATTGCAAATATAATGGCGAGGGCTTCCCTGTCCAACTGGCTGTAATTTTGTTCGGCTCTCGTAAGGGAACGAGATACAAAAGCTACTGGTTTTTCTATGCCTTCTACAATGTGTGACAGTACTCCCGCGATTCCTGTTGGGCTCGCGTCACATGCTACTGTGACTGGGAGAGAAGGATTATACGGCATTAATACCCGGTCACTGGCAATTTCTTCTTTTAATTTAATAAATGCTGCCTCACAGCTGGATGACCAAGAGAAATTCTTTTCCTTCTGTAATAGTTGTCGAATCGGGTATGTAATTGTGGACACATTTGGGATAAACCTGGAATAGTACGTAATTAATCCCAAAAATATTTTTACATCTTCAGTATTCTTAGGTTTCGGTGCTTCTAGAATTGCTTTTACTTTGTTTGGGCACTTCGAAATTGTGTTTTCTTCTATTATGTATCCTAGATAAGAAATCTTCTTTTCGAAAAATCGACATTTCTTTTGATTCAAATGTAAATTATATTTCTTCAGTCTTTCCAGGCAAGCAATTAATCGCTGTTTACATTCTATGTATGTTGAGCCACTCACTACGATGTCGTCGAAATAAGTGGTTATCCCGTCGAGATCACTTAGAATTTGATCTAAGATTCTATGGAATTCGCTGGGGGCTGTTTTGATTCCAAAAGACAGCCGATTCATTTTATAGGTACCTCGGTGGGTTGATATGGTTTGAATAATCTTGCTTTCTTCATCCACTGCAACATGCAAGTATGCTTTGAACAAGTCAAGTGTGCAGAAAAACTTTGCATTTCTAAGACTGTTTAGAATTTCGTCAATTCTTGGAATCGGATAATGAGCTCCTTTTAGCTGGGGGTTTACTGCAATTTTATAATCAACACATAACCGAACAGAACCATCTGGCTTCGGAATAACTACTAAAGGTGATCCCCAGTCGACGCAATCAATTTTTGAAATAATGCCTTGAGCTTCTAATGTATCTAATTCTGTGTCGACTTTATCTCGGAGTGCAAATGGAACATCACGAGCTTTTAAGAACACGGGTTTTGCTTCTTCCCGTAGTTTCAATGAGCAGGTGAAATTTGGGATGCATCCTACTTCCGGTTCGAAAATATCATTGAATTGTTGCAGGATTTTGATTACGTCATCTTTATGTGTATTTAGGCAATTAATCGATTCTGAACACATAGATTCTGGAATGTGAGTTTTATCTAGATCGAGTAAATTAATTCTTAAATGCCGGATCCACGTTCTGCCAAATAGTGGAGTGCCGCTTTCGACAATAAACATAATTCCTTCCACAGACGATTTTTCATAAATATCAACTATTACCTCGTTGATTCCGTAGAAATCTTGAATGCTGTTAGTATCGTTGAGCTTTTTGTTATCTTCTTGAGTGTCCGTTTCAAGCGTAAGTGTATCGCTATTTTTTGGTTTCATTAATGTCGAAATGCAGACCTTTTTTACGTGACCTGTTTTATCACAAGCGTGACATTTTAAGTTATTGAAGTTGATGCGACAATCTTGTGTTTTGTGGTTGTTACGACCACAACGAATGCATACATTTTCTAATCCTAGGGCGCGATAATTGATTCTGCTTTTAGACCGTGCTTGACTATTTGAACGACTTTTACCAGGGTTGTTCCGGTTATTTGATCGCTTACTTGATTTATCTCGGGACTTTGAAATGCGATTCACATTTTCAATTGAAGACTTCCTCCCTGCTGGTGTTCCTGATATTTCATGGTTGTCCAGTTTTGATGCTTCTAGAGCAAGAGCGGTATCCACTGCCTTTTTGAATGTCAAGTCGGTTGTCTGTAGAAGTTTTTCTCGAATCGTTGTGTCACGAAGTCCTCGAATAAATTGAGCACGTAGAAATAAATCTGCAACAGATCTTCCACATTCGCAATTGAATCCACAAGTAATGATAAATTTTCTTAATTCAGCGACATATGCTGCTATATTGTTTTCTGGCTTTTGTACGCATGAGAGAAACCGATGTTGCTGTACCACTACATTTGGTTTTGGACATAGGTAAGTTTCTAGTAGTTCCATTAATTGTTCGTACGTTCTCTCTGTTGGCAAGTTTGGTGCAGTCAGTGATGTCAATAATTCATAATATTTTGAACCAATGCAATTCAACAAAACTTTCGCGCAGAGATTTTTGTCATCGAATATATTCTTCAATCTAAGGAAGTTTTCTAGACGCTGCTTGTAATGCTCGAAACTTTCTTTATCTGGATCAAAGCTTCCAAAATGTGATACTAGGTTATTGTTCGAATTTACTGACGGTTGCGTTACCTGTTGTATCGTTTGGCGTTCCAGACACGTAGTCAGAACCTTCATGAGTTCTTGGAATTGTTTTGCGTCCATTTTATTGTTAATCGAATCCGAAATTGAATATTTACGTGATGGAATAGTTGGGAGGCACGCTGCAGAGAGAGGTTAGTTGAATCGAGATCAGTTGAATTTTTCACCTCGTCGCCAATTGTTGTAACTTGAAGGAGGATTGTAAGTAAATAAACTGACTCGCAGATTCCTTATTCCAATCACGATATATATATATTATAAATCCAATCGCTGTCTATTACAAGAACAATCGTATGAGTATATATAAAAGCGGGAAGTCCGCGTGTGTGACTTGCTCGATGCCTCTCTGTCAGTGTTGCCACACAGCCAAAATTAAAATTGTAGGGTAATTCAATCGGCCAATGAACGAACGGATATAACAGCAAATAAACAAGAATTCCTTTTAGAAATAATCCGCAATTTTACGATCGATGAAAAATAAAATCCGGATGAAGACAGCGATTGTAATAACAATCATCCATTCGATGAAACAGATTCTACATCAGTGGACGATGATTCTTTCTCATTACATTTTCATAAATTACTCATTAGTGCAAAAGATTTCGCTGCAAAAACGCATTCCGGTCAACGACCTAATGCATATATTGTCCAGAATTTGTGACACCATTTATGCGATTTACAAAGTATTATGTTGTGAACAAATGTCATGGTGCAAAAAACTGAGATGAAACACTATTCCGTAGCTTCGTCGGCTAGATCTGAGGCGTATTTTAATGATATATATAAAACATAACATGTGTATACATATATATATAATAATAATATATAATTCCTTAATAATCTCAATTTATATTACCTAGCTTTACACGGGAAAACTGATAAAATAGTTAGTAAGCCTTTTTTAAATATATTTTTTTAAATATTCATTATTTACATTCCTAAATGAAAAACATCAAACTTTAAATAAAACTATATATATATCGTATTCTTGCATTTATTCAACAATCAAAATAAATCGCCATCAAAAATGTCATCTGATATCCGGTTTTACCCCACGGCTTGTTGTCGAATCTCTGTTATAGTATCTCTAAAGAAAACTACAAAAAGGGGCAGGATACTAGAAAAAATCTAAAATTAAAGACAATACATACAGTAATAATATGGAAGCAGAAAAACAAAACGAATGTTGGATGTATTATTTTAAGTAAAACAAAATTAAATTCTAATAGGAACAACAAAATTACAAGCACTCTTCACCTGTTTTTTCGATGCTTTAACGGAATTATTAGCGACAGCATACGTAGATTCTGTTGCGTATAAGTACACAGTTGATGAGAAATATAAAGATCAAACATTCTATCAAACAATGATCAATTATGCTACTAATGGTGTTAGTAATACTTTCTACTTTGAGAGAATTTCTTATCTACTGACACTTTTTGACGCAGAAAATGGTGACGTTAATTGTGCATGCAATATCTCCACTTCAATTACAAAAATATTCATCGACGCACCAAGTATTAAAGAAAAAAACCCGTGTGCACATTGTCACCGTACAGAAATAAAAAATATACCAATAACAGAAATAAATACAAACCCAATCCTTAAACATGGTTTGCACAACGGCTTGTAAGAATCTATAGATATTATTTTTAACAAACAAATCATATGTATGTACAAACTGCGGTAATATAGTAATTTCTGAAATAAATCCAGAAGCTCATTTACTAATAGATGTCGAACACGCATGTCACCGTGCGTTATTAGCTACACTGGGATTTTCAAATTCGCCAAAGCACGTACCGTTGTCAGAAATACCAACACATCTGTATATAAAAAATGAAAGTATCAGTTAATAGGACTGATAACGTACAATGATTCTGACAAACAACAGACATTAGGATATTACATCGTTTACTGTAATAGAATAACAGGTTTATGGGAAGAATACGACGATCTTCGAAATAGGTATGTGTCATTGCAGGCAACAACAACAGCTCGTACAAACGTAAAACCAAGTGTCATAGCTTACATAAAATTAGGTCAACAATAGCTTCCTTTCGTGCTCATCTATCCACGCACGATACGCACCGCACGCATGCAAGCGCGCGCGCGGGCGCGCGCACACACACACACACACACATACACAGCAGAGAGGGTTTGGAGCCCTTAAATGTGAGAATCTGATTTTAAATCGTTTTATTGTCAACATCTTGAAATGGTTCTCTCTTCGCATTATTCTAATTATATATTAATTATTATGGTTTTTAAAATTTTACAAGAAATGTGGAGCTTTTACATTATTTAATGATTGCTTTTTGTCGGACTCTTTCCAATTTGCGCCAAGATGATTAAGTCTTCAATAGCGAGTGAGATTAAATATCCACAGTATAAAATTTATATACTTATTTTTCGTATTTTATAATAATTTGACACATGTATTCGTTTTTAATATCATATTCTGTACATCATTAACGATATCTTACGATTTTTTAACATTAATAATGACCTAATAAAGGTCGAAACGTTTGTTTTTAAATTTTATTAAACTTTATATATACATATTTTTAACTAATGATATTTTATATTTACTAAGACCTTTATATTTCAACGAATATTGGCTCGTAGCCCTGTTTGTATTAATTATATTTTAACGAAAGATGAATGACGGTTAAAACCTGTTGGAGGTCACTCGGAGTCATGACATTGACACCAAATGTCGAAATGTCAATGTCAAGGTCAATGGAGAAATCTCAGCCGGATATTTACTAAAAGTAATGTAATATACACATATTTAACATAGGTCTATTAACGCTAACGTCGGCGGTATTCTACTTCTCAGATTTTTTAAACCGTAAGAACGTCTTTAGAAAAAATGCAAGTTTTTTATCAACCAATATAACTCGCATCTTTTTAAAACAATGTCTGCCTTATGACCTTAAAAACATCACGTAGACTGTATTCAAAAATTCGATAGATAATAATTTTTTAACTAAAGGTTTGTAAAAAAAAAAAATCAAATTGTTTCGGACTGTGCAAACGAAATCCTATCGATTGGCGGTATTTTTAGCACAGAAATTACGATTTGAAACCATCTTCTGCAACCTACCTCTCTCGAAACTTTAATTGTTAATAACTTTTAAACTAGAGATGTGCAAACGAAAAATCAATGTGTTTCGAAATGTGCAAACGAAAATCTATCGATTGAGACCTTTTCGAACCCATTTGTTTGATATTGGGGGGCTAGTGTGAAGTTAGCCCCCACAAAATTGTTTTTTAAATATCTTTTAATCTAAAGATGTGCAAACAAAAATTCAAAGTGTGCCTAAATGTGCAAACGATGTGCAATCGAATGAGTTTTTTAAACTTTATTTTTTCAAAGGTTGGGGAGCCAACTTCACACGGGTGTCAACCTTTCTTGTCAACTTTTGTTTCGGCGCCTGTCATGTGAACAACGTTTACATGTGATTAGTTTGATCATATCGTTTTGTTAAATTATGCGATTGACTCTTTCCACATAGAAGAATGGTATTGACCACCATTGAACACATTTATTTAATATTCTATCATACATGTAACTTCTCTGGTGAGTTTTATTTGATTGACGCAAGAAGACTAGAACCAGGAGAGTAAATTCGGTCAAATATCGGTAGAGGGGGTAGGCCAAAAAGTGACGGCGGATAACTTTCCCCACTCTTGCACTTCATTAGTCCTCTCTGTCGCTCTGATAGTCGTTTTCAATTCGTAACTGCGCATGTCAAACAAACCTTGTTTGATATGTGCATTTAATGTGCAGTATAATTTCTTTTTACAACTTACATTCTGTTTAAGATGGTTTAAGAAGATTTTTTTTTTAAGTGTGTCCATCGGATGAGAGGAAAACAAAGGTTAAGAACAAGAACTTCTTGGTTATAACCGATGCGCGCATGCGCAAACTTTCACATAAATGTGCAATGCCACTGCGCATTGTATGGGTCTACGCACAACAGGAGAAATATTAGGAACAGATATTAAATATAAGAATTTTAACCTGTCAGAAAGCGCACATTCCACAGTACACAGTTCTGATAGGTTAAAATTCTTATATTTAATATCTGTTCCTAATATTTCTCCTATTGTGCGCAGGCCCTATGAATAACCGCGGACGTTTTTTGACCTACCCCCACCACGCTAGTTTACTCTCCTGGTTCTAGTCTTCTTGGATTGACGATTGGAAGAACGATATTCTTCTATTAGAATGTTCTCAATTTCTTTATATTAATTTCACAGTTGAATGAAATTTTAACATTCAGTCGACTAGCTGTTTAGGAACAATTTCTGTCTATCAATCCATCGGAGAATGTTAACTAGACTATTCATATTCTTTGTTTTTTTTTACTCGTCTATTGCGGTTTGAGTACTACAATTATATTATAGAAAAATCTGAGGATGGCTTGATCAAGAAGCCGAAACATGTAATTATATTGTTAGACAATCGAGATAATTCAATGTTATACCACCGAAATATTTATAAGAATTCTGACGAAGATTTTTCTATGTTTATATTTTACATTCAAATCTTACTGACTACTGACTCTTACATGCCCTTTACTTAAATTTTTATGTTTATTTGATAACAAAGGTTTTTATATATATTTATTTTTTAACTACTCAACAAAATTAAAGCATCACCTTTTATCCTGCAAAAAAATAGGTAAACTTCGAGATAGAATAACTTCGTCAAAAATCATCGTATCGAGATATTTAAAAAAGCATTTTAAAGCTTGAAATCCGTACTTTTCAGAACAATTTATTGAAGAAACAGTCTGGCTGATATTTTTTGAAGTTACACAAACAAAAATGAAGATGCATCAAATCTTAAAATTTTATACGAAATTTGTGAAGTTGCACAGTGTGAATTAAAAATTGTGCACAAATATATATTAAATTTTGAACTTAATTCCTGCCGTTTTTTCGTCTCTAAAATTAATTCGTTTTGAAGGGAAGATGGACGAATACCTTATAAACAAAGTAATTTCCTTCATTTTCTATTACTTTTTCCCATCTCTCCGGCAATCCCACGA